CCTGGCCCGGTGTGCCACGAGCTTTAAAATATCCCTGCCAGTGGCTGTGCAATGATGTCGGCCAGTGCCTTAAGTACCCTCAGATGGAGCTCATCTGGGCCTGCCGACTTAAAGGCATCCAGTTCTTCCAAGTGACTCTGCACCATCTCAGGGTCCATACATGGTAGTCTGGCGCCTTGCTGCTGCGCCTCTACAATCCCAGTGAGAGCCTTGTCTTGCCCCTCTCTTAGGAACACTGAGGCAAAGAACTCGTTGAGGAGTTCAGCCTTGTCCCCCCTGTCCGTCACCAATTGCTTCTGCCCATTGAGTAGGGGTCCTATTCCTCCCTGGGCCTTCCTTTTACTCCCTATATATCTAAAAAAAACAATTTCTTGTTATCCTTTACTTGGGATGCCATCTTCAGCTCCATGGTAGCTTTGGCCCGTCTAACTGCCTCCCTACAAGCACGAGTAGAGGATCTGGGTAGCTAATTCTCTTGCCCCTTCCCTCCCCAACACTTGCACCCAAATCCAAGGCTTGGGGCTCTTTTCTCTGTTTAATGGGGAAAATAACCTCATCTTGGATTTGAATAAATGTGGTAGATGAGCTTTAAACCAGGCATGTGAGAAAATGAAAGTTTATTAAAGCAACTCTCCTTAATCTGAATACTGGTTGGTATAAATGACTACTACTTACTTATAGAGTAATTTAGTGTTGGAGACATGGTGTACACAACTATATGACAAATAAAGTCAGACAAGGTTCTTTGGGTGAATCTGATATCTTTTATTAGACCAACTTAAATAGTTGGAAAACAATTATTAAGCAAGCTTTCAGGTTCAAAAACCCTTTGTCAGGCTAAGGAAGTTTCAGCAGTTGGTGTGTGCTCTTTCTGGATGGAATGAAAAGTAAAGAAGCCAGAGGCTGGGCTGGTATGCATGCAAGACAGGTAGTCAGTGAAAATGTAGATTGAAGAGTCAATTGGTGAGAGATGGGCTGGGGAGGGGCGGGGAAGAGAGAGAAGGGGGATAAAAGTGGAGAGATACCTGGGGAGTCAGATGTCAGGCAGGTTATAATGTGTCATAAATCCAATGTCTATATTTAGTCCATGATTTTTAGTATCCAGGAGGTTGATGAAGTGGAGTTCATAGGCTCGTCT